AGGGAAGAGTTCACTACCACCCCAGTGCAACACTGAATTGATAGACAAGTAATATAAAGGCTATTTTTTAAAGTCTTAAAACATTGTCACAAAAGATAAGTCTTCAGAAATGTAGTACACAAATAAGAACTATATGAAAGCCTATAAAATAGTATGGCCACGTATATACACAAACACAAAAGAAGAAAATATATGCTATTTAAAAATAATTATCTAAAATAAATTTAATGCAGTGTTACCCCTTTAAAAAAAATCTGAAAGCAGCAAAAATACACACCTGGGAAAATTAAAGTGACCAAAATATATTCTGTGCTCCTAAACAATACTTAGGGCCTACAAAAAAATCCATGTACAAAAAGCTCCTGAGAAGTCAACATAAGTCATTAATATTTCCCAGCACAAATTAACATGAAGACTCAAACATGTTTTAAGAAATCAGTTCTGGAATATAAATGTAAAGGAATTCTGTCAAAGATAAGAGACAGAAAACTTTAATCCTTCTCTCCCTTTGAAAAGTAATTAAACACAAAACCTTCAGCAATAAAATACAACAAAATTTAAAAGAACATTAATACAACATTAATTTCAGCATTCCCTCCAAAAAATCTTTATTATTGTCTATAGGATGAAAAAGTTACTATTACCCTGAGAAGAAGTTTCATTTTTATATAAACAGTTAAAGTTTTTCTCACTCTTCACAGAAGCAAGTTTCTCTACTTAATTTCCAATTGGGGCTATTTCATAAGAAGGCACAACTCAAGGCTCTGAGTTTTAAACTTTTGGGTTATTTTTACACAAAAATATTTCAGTGCACTCCTCTAGATTTGAGTAGTCATTTCCTTATGCATCCCTCTGAAAAAGAAAAACAAAAATTATGTACATGTGTACTTAATACTGATGCATACGGATATACATCTTTTTCACTTTGAAACATACCTGAAATTTTTAGTTAGTAAGGATTTTTCAAAAAGCAAAATCAATCAAAACCTTAATCATGACATGTTACTCTGCATAAATAACAATCTATGTAAGAATTCAGGAACTTAAATATTCACTAAAATTAACTACTATCACATCAATGGAGAACTGAAGAAAAACTTTAATAGCAGATACACATTTCACAAGATCTATAAAAGGAAAAATGATCTTTTTTTTGAATTATGAGAAACTGCCTAAGTAGCACTTTTTTAAACAAAGCTTCAACACTGTAACAAAGAGCTTTTTGGTAACCCTAGCAGTATTAAAAAAAAAAAAAACTTCATAAAGTGTCCAGGTTGCACTTTTAATACACTTCCCAAATGATACGGAGAAAGTTAACATTTAAAGACAGAAGCGTCTGTCTTAGTTATCTATCTCAATACTAACATCTGCATGGCATCTGACAATTTACAAAGAACTGTCACATGCATTCTCTCATTCCACCTGAGAAAAAATTACAGTATTATGCCTAGAAAACAGACTTCAAAGGTTTGTATTTCCTACACATTCCTAAGTTTTTAAAACTTTGATATAAAACTTTATAAGTCATCACAGCAGCATATTTCCCGTAATAAATCAATTCACCTAACACTAACAGCTGTAAATGCTATGAAATTACTTTCATGCAGTTATTATTAAGAGTTACTAATGGACATATCAACAATGACCTCTACCAACAGATAAAACTTTACTTATAGTTCAAGAATCTCAGTCTTTGGAGGCCAACTCAAATACATCAATGCCTAAAAATTTATCTACTAGGGTCACTGTCCATAGATTCAAGGAAAAAAAAAACACGTAAAAAAGTCTACAATATCTGAAATGGCTGTAAACAAAAGTTTGTATGACTCAGATCATCAAAAAACCTAAAGCCACAAGTCATACCAACTTTTGTTTACAGCCATTGCACACAATTTTTAAAAATATGTGTTGAACATACAACTCACCAACACAAGACTAACTCCTCTTCAAAACAAAATAATTCTAACAGCAGTAAACCAGGCATTCTTAAACTAGCCACAGTAACAAACCTGTGTGTAACATTGTAAGCAGGTAAAAGGCAATTCAAGACCTAAGTTTCAAGTAATAAATGTAATTTATTAATGGAATTTTTAATGGACTTACTCAAAATCTTTCTGGAACTTTAAGGTGTTAATTCTGTTGCTTAGGTGAAGCTAAGTAGAGCAGTAACAACTGGCAAGTTCTTCACAACTCAGATTTGCTTTGTCTTGCTGTAGCACCTCCTGCTGGATAGCATTTAGAGTTCTTCAAGTAAGCAGAAGAAGAGTATTTCTGAGGCAGCTCCTTCCAGATGACTGAATGGCAAGAAGGATGGACCACTCAAAGCTAAAATAAATAGAGCCCCATCCATCACTTATACCTCTTTAAAAAAAATCTAGCACAGGTAGGAGTTTTTCTTAACCTACTACTATTCCACTTCCATAAAAACCTGCCTGAGTCCAAAGTGCAACATGCCTAAATAAAGTTTGCAAAATTATCTAAAAACAATGCTAAAAAGCCTTTAAAAGCACTCAAGCAAAAGACTTTATTATGGCCAGCCAAGCAATGCCAGTCATAGTGCAAACACTATGTTGACAAAAGCAAAAGTCTGACATAGAAAAAAGTACCTGGCATATTTCTAAAGTATTTGCCAGAAGTTTTGTGTTTTTAGGAATTTTCTCCACTATTACTATGCTGTTCACCTAAGGATAGTTGTACATCTAAGTTTTAAGTACAAAGATTTTTTTATAAACATGAATTAAACTGCACACAAAAGTTTCCTTTTTGCATCAGAAGATATGTCCTGAGATTTTAAAACATATTCCTCACTTTTTAAATGGCCTTTGTAAGCTGTTTTAAGTCCAAAATATAGATTTCATTTACAAGTGGAGATAGAAAAAGAGAATAGGAACGAACTTACCAAAATAAAAATGAATAATAGTACTTCCAGTAAAAATACAGTAACAGTGTCCTACAATGCTGTGAAACATATCGCGAAACTTAAAAAAAGGGGAGGGGTCTATCTTCAAAAACCGAAAGAAAAGCTGACCTATTTATTTCTACTGCCCAAACATGAGTGAACACCACATGTAAACAAACAACATAAACACTGAAAAGTACACTTAAATGTCTTAGCCCCAATTTCAGTCTTCTTACCAGGTCCTCACTGAAGCCACAGATGCAGATGAGTATCCTCTCTTAAAGAGAGTCCATATCCCTGCCCTGAAGAACCCTATAAAGTGTGCCTAAGAAAAGGCTTCCTTCCTAGAGTGCACAATTATTTTTAAAAACTTTCATCAGTCCCTATTAATCTGATTCTAATATTGTTGTCAATTATTAATGTATAAATATTCTTCCTTCTCTAACGTCCTCAGCTCTAGCATCTACATTCCTGACACCTACTATTAACAAAAATGCACAACTCGCACAGGAGGTATGGGGCAAATCTTTGAAATCCAAAACACAGACACAAAGTTCACTGTCAAGGCCAGTGCTGAGACCAACACACGCCAGGACCTTAACTCACATTTAAAATTCTAGAAAGCCATACTTGCAGAGACATCATTTAAAAACACACAACGTGGACTTGCAGTGAGATTCTCTACTTCAAGACCTAAACAAAGAATATTTCAACATATGCCCGGAATATGATGACACCAGATTCACCAATGAAAACAAAACCTGCCTACCATTAGCAGTCGTACCCTCATCTCAACAACTCAACTACTTAGAAATCACTCTCAGCACATCTGCACCCTACAACAGGCGTGTGGCCTTCTCCGGGGGTGCAAGCCACAGACAAAGTTGAAAGGAGGCATTCTTTCCCCGATGCCCAATCTCGGTATCAACCCCTCCCCTACTAGGGCCACCTAGATGCTACCCACCATCGCGAACGTGGTCAGGGGAGAAAAGAATGCTAACAGCACCGCTCAGCAGAATAAAGAGATAGGAGAGGATGACGAGAAGTGTTGGGAACTGCGTGCACGACGGGGCTGGACCAAACGGAAAGAGTCCCACTCCGCGCGCCCCTCCCCCCCGGCGGGGGCGCGGGCGGGGGAGGGGAGGCTGCGGCCCCTCTCGGAGCGGCCTATGGGCCCCGGCCCGCGCGGGGTCCCGGGGGTGCCCCGCGACCGCGGGCGGAGGGGGCGAGTGCGGGAGGGCCGGCCCCGGGGTGAGGGGTGCAGGCAGACTCTCTGGAATAACAAGTTGCAGAAGAAGAAGAATAAGCGGAATTTCCCCAACGCTGCTTCGACCACCCAAGACAAATGCACCAACACTTACACACACACACGCACGGGCTCGGCAGCGTCAGCAGCCGCAGCTTTTTTTTAAAGCCAGATCCCACAGTCACCAAACAAGATGGTTTTCAAAAAAAAAAAAATTAAATAAATAACCATAATAAAACTTGCCCCCGACAGCATCCCGAGGTGGGGGTGGGGTGGGGATGGGGGTGAGGGAGCCTAGCCGACCACCCCCAGGCCCGGGAGAACCGGAGGGGGCGGCCGCAGCTTCGCGCCCCCGCCCCCGCCGGCAGCCCCCTCCCTGGTCCCCCGCCGGGACAATGTGACGCCCCCTCCCGCAGCCCCCCGCGCGCCGCCTCTGTCACCCGCTCCGGCCCTGCACTCAGCGCCCAGGTTCCCGAGGCTGCTCATAAACTTACTTCCAATTTATCCTGGGGAAGGGTGGAGGGCAGCGGGAAGGAAGGGGGAGACAAGGTTTTTCCATTGTCTTTTTTTAGGGGGGAGAAATAGGAAGGGCACACAGGGGGGCGCCCCAAAGGGGAAGTTACTGCTCAAATCTCAAGTTGACGGAGGGGTCCTGATGAGAACACCCCCCTTCCCTCCTCCCTCCCACACACCCCTCCCCTCCCCCTGCCTCCCCCCAACAAACTCCGAGCAGGCAGCCCCTGTTCCTCCCAGAGACAAACACCAGAGACAGACAGAGACGGGAGGGGGAGGGGAGGGAGGGAGGGGAAGCAGCTACTCGAGAAAGAGGAAAGTGAGGAGAGGAGAATGGAAAACCTGGGATACTGCACCCTCCTGCTGCTGGCGGCTGTCCCCCTGGCAGCTGGAGGCAGGAACTCTGAGCAGGAGCAGCGGGAGGAGGAGGAGGAGGGAACTCTTCTTCATGGGAGGGAGGGAAGAAGCTGGAGCTGCTGCCGCCGCTGTACTGCTGCTCTGGGCCTCTCGCACTTTTTAGGTATTAGTGTGTTAAGATGGTAGGTTGTTCCCTTCTCCCTCCTCCTCCTCCTCCTCCTCGCCTCTCCGCTCCCTCTCTCACTCTCACTCTCTCACTCTCTCTCTCTCTGGGCTGTTTCTTTCCTCCTCTTCCCCAGGCAAGGGGGGGCTGGGAGGAGGGGGTGGGGGGAGGAACTGGATCCTCCTCCTCCGGGAGACACACACAGGCCTCGGGCCGGAATAGGGATGGGGGGTAGTCAGAGCAGCAGGAGAGAAACTGTGGGAGACAAACAAGCCCAACTCTTCATCATCCTCCTCCTCCTCCTCTCAGCAGCAGCAGCAAGCACCACCAGCCCATTCACCACCCGGCCCGGACCGCAGCACCTCCGCCGCCTCAGCCCGGGGATCCCTCCGCCCAGGCCCAGACACACTCGCCCGCGCGGGAGCTCGCCGCGCGGCCCCGCCGGCCCGCCGCCGCCGCCGCCGTGCGCGTGCCCGCCGCTCCCGAGAGCCGGGCGAAAGGGACTGGGGCTGGGAAAGCGGGGATGAGGGCGGGGGAGAGGAGGTGCCGGGGTAGAGGGGCACGGCGGGGAGGGAGGGGGCTGCCGGGCGGAGTTGTACGGCGGCCGTACCGAGCCGCCGCGCCTCTGCCCGCAGCTCCGGGACGCACGCCCTCCTCCCCAGGGGCGACGGACCCGCGGAGGGGGGGACAGTGGGGGCCCGCGGCGGACGGACTACTTGACGTGTCGGTGCGGCGAATTTATTTCACTTTGCCTAAGGAACGGGGTGTGCTGCGGTCCCCATTGCCTAGGGAAAAAACCCGGATGTAAAGTGAGTGAAACTAAACTAGAGTGAAGTAGGGCAGCAGCAGCCAAACTCCAGTGCAGCGGCGGCGACGGCGGTGTGATGGGCCTGAGCGCGGAGCACAGGCTGCTGAACTCCGGTGCCGCCGCAGTGATGGGCCCGTGCAGCGCCGTAGCTCGGTTCCCGTGTAGCTGCAGCCGAGGCGAGGCCGGAGCCCGCTGCGGCCCCCCTAACTCAGCGGCCCAAGCCCAACTGCCCCTCCCGCCGCCAGGAGCTGCAAAGGGCTCCGGAGCGGCCCCAACTCCCTCCAGTGCAACAGCAGTTTCAGGGGGAGAAGAAAAGCCGAGCGGGTTGCAGCGAAGAGAAGCAATGGGGAAGCACTGCAATGGGGGAGCGTGGTCCAGGCAACAGGAGAAAGATGTAACCTCAAGTCGAATGCAACATGCAGCCCCCTGCCGCCGCTCGCCCGCTCCCTCCTATCGCCACTCCGCCCCCTTTCCAAATAACTACCCTTGAACCACTTTATTAGCTGTACTTAGTCCCACGCTTGCTTCGGGGAGGGGCGGGAGACGGGGGTCCTTCCCTCACCTTTATTTATTGCTGCTTTCTCCCCCCTCTCCATGTTTTTTATTCCTAAGTTCTTTTGTTCTAAGGGGGATGATGGCATTTACTTTTCTGCTTTGTGTGGCAGTGCAATCACTGGGAATCGGCCACGTATAATCCGGCGGTTTGTCATATTTTATTAGTGAAAGTATTTTATGCCTATTCCACCTCCAAGGACTATAACATAGAGACCTGCAGGGAGGAAAAAAATATGAGAAGAATTCTTGTTTTCAGAGATTTCTTGGCGTGGAGGACTAGGGGAGGGTCTTTTTTTTTTTTTTTTTTTTTGGAGAGGGTTTATTTAGATTTTTAAGTCGATAGTTTTCAACTTAAAGCATAATGTTTTTGTGTGGCTATACTACTGGATTCTAAAATAACCCGTAACCACAATAAAGAAAAAAAGTCAAAAATCCTAGATTAAAAAAAAAACCCTCCTGGACAGTGATATTATCTGTTCTGTGCAGCACCCTGGACTTAACATAGTGATGGCCTTCGAATGTTTAACAATAAACCCCAACCATAACTGAATACAAATAGGGGGTAGGGGGTTGTTTTTAAGGCTCAACACTTTTGTAGCAGCTGCCACTACGCATTTTTCAGGCGCTGATTAGCCACGCAACTCCCATAGGCATGAAGTCCGGTTTTTGCAGATAAAGAGCAACAGTGGTGAAATGATTTGCCCAAAGTCAAAGTGAGTCATTGACGGAACCCGAAATAGCCTTGGACTGTATCACATCTATTACTAGTCACATATTTCTATGTAATAGTATTTCCTCCAGGAAATAAATAGTATTTAAAAATAAATAGATGTCCTTTACCTTGTTATGTATTTCCACCAGAGGTGCTTTGAGATCCTTGGATATGAAGGTATTTTCTTCTGTGACCTATGAAATTAAGTTTAGTTTCTCAAAAAAGGCAATTCAAAAAAATTCTGATTTCTTAAAGCTGAAAAAAGTATGGGCTTTATTTTATATGTGTAGGACATTTAGTACTCGAGCTTTATGTTTAAAAAAAATTCACAGGGAAAGTGTGTAAGAGTTTGAGAGTGAAAATGAAAATCCCTATAAATGATTCAAGAAACCTAGATGAACTCATAAGGTTGTGAAACTAAACCCGTAACACAGTCAAGATGAATAACAGAAGGACGAGTTGGGCAGTAAGACCCAGCTTTACCACCTGGAGCTAACTGATGTATTTAAAAGATCAGTTAAGGCAGGGGCCCTTTCAAGTGGGACCCACTAGGCACCAGAACCATAACCTAATGGTGTCATTTCAAATCAACCCAGTCTCAAAATTTTTTCAGAGCAAGACTGCTTTAGTGTTCTTTCTGGGAAGAAAGTTTAAAATGTTTCAGAATTTAGTAGAAAAAAATTCATAAACTCAAATTGTGTCTGAATATGTAAAATGCTGTAAAACAGAAGTCAGCAGACCTTTTTCTATAAAAGCCCAGATAGTAAATACCTTAGGCTTTGCAAACCGTACAGTCACAGCTTCTCAACTCTATGTGCTATATAGCACAAAAGCAGCCATAGAAAATACATAAACAAATAAGCCCAGCTATATTCTAATAAAGCTTTTATTTATGGGCCTTGTCATTTGAATTTCATGTACTTTTCATGTGTCAAAAAATACTCTTGATTTTTAAACCACTAAAAAAAATGAAAAAACATTCTTAGCTTGTGGGCCTAACAAAATGAGGGGGTGGGCAGGATTGGGCCACAGGCTGTCCTTCACTGACCCTGGCTTTAGGAAACTTAAAATTGAAAAGCCTCCAAACTTCTTACACCAGAGGGTGCTTGGTTATTAAGGTGTTTGTAATAAAAAATCAGTATCATGCAAAAATCATGTTTTCGATATTTACACTTAATTAAAAATATTTTTTCTAACACTCCTGTAACTATCAAACTCTATGGAAAAGAATATTACAGCTTGTGATTCATTGACAGACCATATTTCCGTTTACATAGAAAGATGGTAAAGAGAAGTGGAACCAAAGGGACCTAGATTCTGACACTTATAGCAAGTATCACTTCTTTTTTGGTAAGGCATCTTGGGTAAGTTAACCTCTCAGAGCCTTAGTTTTCCTTATGTAGCTATTAACACCTAGTTTGCAGGGCTGTTAAGAAGACAAATAATCTGTGTAAGTGCTTACCACAGTGCCTGGCATATAATACATCTTTCCCTGTGCCCTCAAATTCATTTTCGGAGTTAACGTAACTCTGGGGAGGATGAACATGTGGAGTCCTAATATCTCGTCAATGCAGATGGGGCATATGAGGTCCAAAGAGTCTCAGGGTAATTCAAAGTTGTGGGATTGGTATTGTTATATATTTTAATGGGTCTTTCTCAGTCTCTAAGCATGCCTGTCATGGGGCACTTAGTAGATACACACTAGCTGTGTGACCTTAGATAAACCCTTAGGCCTTCCGAACCATTGCATTTCTCAAATATAAAGATAGTACCTCGTGGGATTTTTTTAAAGGACTGAATGGCATAAATACTAAATAAAAAGCTATCAATTAGTATAAGTTAGTGTGAATCCCAGAAATAAGCTGAAATGGAAAGTTTACTATCAAAAGTGCCTTTGAAGTAACCATTCAACTTTTATACATGAGTGACATGATAATAATAGCAGGTGCACAGTAACTTAGAATTTGCCCTCCTACCACTTAGTTACCCCCGCAAACCATTTAATAGCCATCAAAACCCTGATGACTAAAGATAAAAATCAAGTTTTAAATTCTATTAAATATGAGAGCTCAGTTTCTAATTTTTATAAAGGAGCCAAATCTATCAGCGTTTTCCCATATGTTCCTGTCTTCTGTTCCATGCTTCAAAAGGTCATCTGAAGTCCATGATTAGAAAAATACCATAATTTTCTTCTTGTATTTTTATGGTTTCACATTTACCTTGCTACCGTGTATAATTTTTTTCTTTTGGTGTACGGTAAGAAGTAGGAATCTAATAACTTTTGTTTGATAGAAAATATTTAATATTGGAAATCTATTCAATAATGTAAAATGTCATTTAAAATGATAAAAGAGCTAACTCCCTATAAGGACTATCAGTCTAAAATAAATACTGTAAATATAGGAAAAACATGACAGGCATTACATCTTATAATGTTACATGGAGCATTATGTATTATAATAGGGAATAAAGAAGTTTCTTCTAAATTTTCTTACTTTACAGTTTTATAGCAGCATAGTAATATAGTGGTACAGTACATATACTGTACCCATGGATATTAAGGTATTTTTGTACTTGTATTTATATATGATAATCTCTGTTCTGGAATTTGATAGCATTTCAAGCAAAGTAATAAAGCCTCCCCCAACCCCTGAAAAATGAGCAGCTTTCTCATCTAACTCTCCTTGTCCATCACTCAACCACTATCCTTTCTTCTACTCCAGGCTGAAAAGTAACCCCATTGTCTCTTAAAAGGTCAGTCTAAAGAAGATTTGAATTCTTTCTGAAAACCTGAGGGTGCTTCCTACTTCTTCACTGAGGCAGGGAGGTTAACTATTAGGGTTCATTAATTTGTCTTTTCTAATTCTTATTGGACTGAAATAAGTGAAAACCTAGCTTGTACCAACAAAGTGCTTAAATAAGTAGACATATCAATGTAATTTTGAAAGAATTATGACAGGAAATCCCTAGTGACTAACAGAAGTTGAATAAATGCTCTTTCTCCCCACTGTCTCAGTGGTTTCTGATCTTTTAAAAATCTTCTCTTTAACGGTCTTGTGTGTGAATTTATGGTAAGCCAAAATCATAATTGGAAATGGGTCAGGTATAACTTGTAAATAACTATTGGTGAATATGCAGCTGACTCTCCAGAGAGTACCTTTAATTTCATTATTTTGCTGTAATCTCCAAGGTCAGTTTAATCCTAAGTGACTTCAGGTGTGTGTGTGTTTAATAGCATT